TTATATAAATATAATATATAAAGTTTACTGTAATTAAATTCCTTCTCAATTTACAAATATTCAATTAAGGAAAACACAACCAATAGGGCTGTGGCGCAATGGTTGGTCCAAGCCTAGAAAAGTAGAATGTTTATCATTTTGAAAATTCTCACAGTTAACAAATTAATTCTACTAATTTTTTAATTATTATTTTTATAAAAATAAATAAATAAATAAATAAATAAATAAAAAATTAAGGAAAACACAATTCTAGCGGCTTATCAAGCGAGTTGGTTGCCATAACCACCGCCAAGAAGTAGAGGCTTTAAGAAATGTAATAATAGGATCAGCCTAAAAGAAAATTTGTGTTAGGCATGATCAGTTGCATGATGCATTGGGCTTCCTCTATTTTGAGCTCTATAGATCCAGGATCTTCACCGTAAGGAATCTTCGTAGCTTTTGTCTCCTTTATCTTTTCCCCCAAATTCTGGATTCTATAAAGCACCATCCTTTTTCTCGAGTTCCAAACTATCTAAAGTTCCTCCCTTTTTTCATTATTTTACAACCCAAAACGCCCACCTTCACAATCCACACAGACACAGTTCCAAGTTGAAACTCCGTACCTTAGGTATGCTCTCCTATCCTCTTTCTTTGATTTAATTGTTGAAAAAGATGCATTCTTTTTGTCAAATTCTTCACATTTTTTGTGGGTTTTTGTTTTTCCTTTTGATTTTGTGTTTTGATCATGTATCCATTGCCATTTATGTGAAAGTATACTGGGTTTTTGTAGTATTTGCTATTATTGATGTGTAACAAGTTATGTCTTACTGGTGGGTAGTCATCTGTTTTCTCTCTTGCCCTCAAGAAGTAGCTGGAGGATTGGGGCATGTTTGTCTGAGTCTGACTGTTCTTCTATTTGTTTAAAAATCAATTGAAAAAGGCAGAGAATTGAGATAAGGATTATAGGGACTTGGCAGTTTTCAGGTTATTTATAGAATTACAACCTACTTCCTTAAGTGTTAGAAAATACTTGGGGTTTCTGTTGAATCAATCAGCCTGCTTGAGTTCAAATTATTGGGGCTTTGAAGTTCTAAGAAAATTTATGTGGTTTAAGACGTTTGTTGTGTCATTGGGCTATTGACGATACTTGTCAATAACTGTCAAGATTATGTTGGGTTACAAACCCAAAATTTTTTGTTGTCCATTATCTGTTGAAAGTTTAGATTTTGGTTAAATATCTCGTGATCAATTTTTCGAACTTTGATGTTATAGCTGTTCAGAGTTAAATGTCTCGTGATAAATATGGAATGGTTAGTACTGCTTAAAGTGGGAATAACAAGGAATGCATCTGAAAACTGCTAAGATCCTCCTCAATTGCATTTTTCCGGTATTTTTTACCTAAGACCAGTAGAATCTGATGGGAATTGTGTATATAGAGGTTTTAGAACCTGTATTCAACTACCTGTTAAATTTGTGATTTAGAAGCCAAGAGCGTAAGACAAAGGAAATTTTTCTGACATTTTACTATAAAGAGACGTTCCTTTTTTGGTCTTTGTTTTCTGTAGATGATTTTGTGGAAAATGGGTTTTTAAGGTACTGATCACAGAGACTTGATGCTGACGTCTGAACTAGTGGACAGAAAGCATATTGCCTTTATTTTTGGCCATAAAAAATGTATTGCCTCAGTGATTACTTAACTACATAAGAATGGTTTTAGCTATAGATTCCCATAAAAAAAAACTTATTGTAGACTAAGACTGTGTATTGGATTATCTTTGTATGTTTGTATTTCTGGAGACCAGTATTTCTTGGCTTAGTTTCTAATTTGGGGCATCTTGAATATATAATTCAATAAAAGCATTTCATTTATGACATCAGCAGCTTCTGTTTCTTGCCACATGGATTTTGATGCAATTGGTTTGTTCCCCATATGAAGCTAATTGCTGTTTCTCATGCAGAGAATTTTACAATATCTTCACTTCCAGCATCAAAATCATGGTAATATAAAAGGTGATGGTTGTCTGATTGAAAAACAATGGAAACCAATGGTAGAAATCCTAATTCACCTGAAAATCCTTCTGCAAGGGTTTCAAATGATGCTAGCGAAGAGCAATCAACCGCAAAAGAGGCTTTTGTCAACCATGGTATGTATATAATATATTCCCCTGGAAACCTGTCTTTGTAATCTTTTAGCCTGCCTTCCCTACTACTATTGGTAGCCTTTTATTCACAATGCGTATAATAATGCTTTTAAGGAATCTGGTAAGTGTAAAAGGTTAGATTACTTAGGACGGAGTCTAACATTTCAGAAAAATCTGTTTTCTTGCATTCTTGTTGCAAAATGTAATTTAAATTTATGTGTAACTGCTGGATTTGTCTGTTGTGATATTTTGAATGCAGTTTCTGATCTTTGGTTAATCTAATGTAATTCAAGTAACAACTCTGGAGGTTATAATTTGAAGGCTATTTTATTGGTTAGCTAGGTAGTTCTAGCATGCTCTTGTCATGCCTCCTTCCCAGCTTTTCCTCCATTCTTCTGATGGTGGTATTTTCTATGTTTTTGTTGAGTATTAACATTTCTAATGGGTTTTATTAACACTATGGGTTATGATGGAATGACACTTGTATGCAATCTTAGCTTGACTGGTTAATGAACGTTATGAACTGAATGAGAAAGTCTTTTATCTTAGAGTTGGGATCCACTTGCACATGCATATGTCTTACATAAATTATGAACTGTTGATTTTCAAATCATACCATCATTTTCAACTGTTAGATTTGGAAATCAACGGCTGATAATTTATGTAAGACATACACATGTAAGTGTTGTTGGACTCTTTATCTTAATCAGAACAATTATCTAGCAAAGTTTTATTTTTATGTATTTATTTATTTATTTTGTACAAATGAGGTAGCTCAAAGTCTCATATCTGAATATTTAGTAAGAATTTTCTTGCATGTTGGGTGAGAGCATCATGAAGTAATCCATATACATAAGAGTATTAGAGTAATATGGATGGCTCCAATGTGCAGCTGAGATAAGTTGGCATGAGATGAGAAGACAGTGGGTTGGTGATGAGTCTCAAAGGTCAAGAAGGATGCCTCAAGAGCCAATAATGAGGTAAATGCTGAGAAATTTTTTTCCACACCATTAAAATCTGCCTGCTTAGAGTAATATTTTGAGTCTCTTCAATTTCCTGCACAAGTCAATTAGTAGAATACTCAGGAAGCTCTAAAAATATGTTTAAAAAAATGTGTGTCAACTATAACTATCATGAGTTTTTTCTAATTTCAGGGTGTGAATTATTCATGGCTTTGTAGAATGTGTTGGCATCCAAAAGTATCTAGTGGTCATGTGCTCAAAACTTTAGAATGATTAACTAGATTGGCCTTCATTTTAAGTAATAGTATCAATACTATTTCCTCGCTCTGTCATGCCAGATGAATAGATAGAATGTAAAAAGACTGAAAACCATGTCAAGGTTAGGAATTGAAAAATGGAGTAATTAAACCCCTTTTGGCGGCATAGCAATGGTTCTCTGTCCAGATAAGCATTTCCATGTTGACATTTTCTTCTTTGCTTCTCTGAGCTTGTGGTTGCTCCATGTTCTAATTTTTCGGTTACTGTCCATCCTTCAAGTAGCAAGTATTTTGGAATTAATAATAGTGGTCGATGGGACATGTTCTATTTATAGCAGTAAAGGATGAGGAGACACCTGACAGGACAGTGGTGTGAGTGTCCCTGATTTGTGCTCAGGGTTAACATGATTATGTTGCCTTCTTCATGTAATTGGTATGATTCAATTTACATTTGAATTTTGGGGGGTTGCTGCTAGGATCGTTGCTTTCCTTTGAATGAGAAATTGGTGTTGGCATCATAGACATTATGGGCATTACATGCTGAGACGTCATATATACTTATAAATTATAGGTGCCAACGACCAACCTTATCAAGGAAGTAACCATGGAATCTCCTTTTGCAGTTGGACCACAACTTACGAGGACTTACTTTGTTCTACTGAACCTTTTCAACAGCCAATCCCATTAGCTGTGAGTATCCCGAAAGATCCTTCTTCCTTCTACTTATGATTGTTGGTAGATGCTGATGTGTTATTTATTGGCAAATCGCAGGAGATGGTGGATTTTTTAGTTGACATCTGGCATGAGGAAGGCCTTTATGACTAAATAAGTGGGGAGTTTCAGTAGTTGCACAGATTTTTGGTGCAGATAAATGAAAGATTAAGCAGAACTCATAGTTTTATGGATTATGAACTTTAACTGCTAAAATTGATTTGGTTAGTATAGACTATAGTTGATTCTCTTGTTCTTGATTAATGACGAGAGGGAATTTGATATAGAATTGACTGACATGCAAAGCTTAGAATTTGCAGTAAACCAACAATTGTGTATCTAATCTGCTCTCAAAGTCTCAACTTCAAATGAGAAGGATGCCCATTTCAACTTTCCATGGTTTTATTATCTGCAAGAAAGGAAAGGTCAGAACTTTCTTACCACTGGGTAGAAGGATTTTGCAAGTTATCATGTTTGAACCATCTACTATAAAGGGAACACCATCAAATTGCTTCTTTTGGAGAGTTCATCACTGCTCTCCCTCTTAAGAGTCACCTCTTAGAATCATGTAAATCATCACAGCAGGGACTCCAAGTTCAAGCTCAATTCATCCTCAATGGCGTGGACTGCAAAATTCTCCCCATGAGCAGTCTCCTCCCTTTTTTATAGGAAATATCAAGTTCTAGTTGTATTAATGATGATTTGTTGATCCAAGTAAAAGAAGTTCGTTTTATTTGTTTATTTATTTATTTTAAATAAAATTTCGAGATTAAGTTTTGTGAATAAAAAAATAAACATTAAAAAAGTTTTATAGTCGAATGTACATGAACTCCATATTAGGTAAGATCTAACTTGTTACCAGATAGTCGGGAGATTAGTATAAAATAAATAAATCAATCAAGTCCTAGCCGCGTTTCCTTGTGCTTTCCTATGGAAAACAAACGGGGGAAATTAGTGGGTTGAATTTTGATGTGGTTGAAGCGTTGGCAGTCAAAGTCGTTCTGATTTTTCTAATCCTTCATTTTTGTCGTTCTTCATAGAAATCTCCTTCTAAGATAAAAATTCAAAGATCACGACTCACGCATTCAGCCTCACAAGAAATTCAAACATATCAATTTAATTCAGACCTAAGAAA